CAGGGAGGAGCCAAGAGGGGGTGGGAGGGTGGTCAGGACCCCTCCACACCTCTGTCACCTGAGGCCCTGCGTCACACCTACCACCCGTCACCGGGGACCATCTGTCTCCACCTTGGGATTCAGGAATTTCATACGTTCTTGCATTTTGTTTATATTTGCGAGTCATGTCTATGTCCTGTGAAGAGAATTCAGGAATGGAGATGTAACGCTACAAATGGAGATAATGTTAGAAGCCTTAAGGAAAGGGTGAAGTTATCAAGAAGGACGGTGTAAAGTGAAAAGGGAATTTAGCATAAAAAATTTCATTGGCAAAAAGCAAGAATCCAGTGGACACGCAGATCAAATTATCCCAGCTGCTGGGAGAAGACCCTGCCCCACAGAGGCAGTGAGGCTGGGAGGCCGGCGGCTTGGTGGTGACAGGAGGGACGGGGCCGGTGCTGGGGGCAGCGAGCTTACAGGAACGCTATTTTCCTGTTGAAGGAGAGAAGAATTTCTATCATGTTTAAAAACCTAAGGAAAGGAGCAGAGAGGGGAAAAAGTGAAGAGGCCAGGGGAAAGGTTGAAAAATAAAGGCAGGCCTTGGAGAAGCTGTGGGAGCATGCAAAGGGGACGAATGGGTGACGGGGAGACCTAAGAACACTTCATCTTTCAAGCAGAAATAAAGGAAGAGGAAATGGGTGAAGACGCTGAAAGTTTCCAGGTGTGAAGAGGAACTGAGGGGTGGCTTCAAGTTTAGCGCCCGCCCCCTCTGTGGGGAGCCGGCTGCCGGGTGAACCTCCTGCCGCGGAGTTCATCGGGCTCCACCTCGGCTTCCAGGGAGGCCAGGCGTTCTCGGCCCCCCCACCCTCGACGAGGGCGACATCATTTTGACTAGCCCAGGACTCCTCTAAGGGGCAGTCTATGCCACAGAGACTCCCTCAGGGATGGAGACACCCAACCAGGTCCGTGTCCTCTCCCTGCAACGCTCTCTCCCCTCCCCGTGCTCACCCTGATCCAGGCACGCTGGCCTCCTTGGTGGTTCTAGCAGCCCAGGGCGCTTCCACCTCAGGGCCTCTGGACTTGCTGTGCTCCACCTGGAGCCCTTTCCCCAGAGATGTCTGTGTGGCTTGTGTCCTCATTTGGTTCTTCCTCACTGAGCCCTTTCTGGGCAACCTTCTAACAAATAAAGTCCTTCCCCCAACTCCCCTACTCTCTCTATTGCTCAATCCTGCTTTGTTTTATTCCTCAACATTGAATGTCTCTAACTTTTTCTATTAGAATGTACGCTTCACAAGGGCAAGAGCTTTCCTTCTTTTGTTTCTGGGTTTTTTTCCAGCTCCCCAAACAGAGCCTAGAGCACAGTAAACATCCAATAATTAGCAGTATGAGAATCACTGCATAGTCCCAGAAGTCCAGATTTTCCAAAACATTTATAATTTAAATTTCCCATTCAGGTATGTGTTATTGTGTAGACACGATCTCCTAAACCACAGTTCTTACACTCTGTGCCTGTGGGCCCACTTGACATAAATATTTTACTAAACGTGGTCTGTGAGTGCACCAAGCGAGCTCTTAGGAAACATGCACTGTGACAACTCACAGTCCCGATTTTCCATTTGGAAAGTAATATTGTTTGTCTTGTATCTACGACATCAATTCACAGAGTGTTTTCATTTCTTCATGGACACCAAATGTTCAATTTGGCTCTTGAAACACTTTTGTTTATTTTCTTCCCAAATTAGTTTAAAAGCTGAAATGTTACAGGTTTTTCCTCTTCTTTCTCTTGTTTTCTTTTTTCTTAGGTTTTAATTTTTTTTCAAGAGTCTGTATATTTATACCCTGAAAACCCTCAAGGCTATCACATCTGAAATATTGTTTTAAAGACCACTGATTTGATTTTTAAAATAGCATTGGCATATTTAGTCAGAGGGTTGAAAACACTGTTGAGGGACCGTTGTGGCAGGGAATGTTCTTATTCTGTAGACTGAATGTATCTGTCATTCTCATGCTGATTTTAAGCATTCAAAGTCATGTAATGTACTATTTACTATACAATATATGATAGTTTAAAAAGTGTTTCACTACATTTTCAAATGTATATAAAGTAGGCAGAATAGTATAAGAAATGCCATGTACCCATCTTGCAGCTTTCATAATTGTCAGCTTCCAGCTAATCCTGTTTCATCTACGTCCTATATGTACTTTCTCTCCCCCGGATTATTTTGGGGGAAAAAATTCCAGACATCACATTATTTCACCTGTAAATATTTAAGTCTATATATTTAAAGGACACTGCCTCTTCTAAAAGTAATAAACTTTTAAACAAATACTACTTCTGAAGGCCGAAGGGAAATTATCGATTGCCAAATTTTGACATTAGGCAAAATCACATCATTACTGGATATCTCTTTGCTACCCACATGAAGGTTCTTTTTTCTTCTTTTGGACAAGCATAATTTTGAACATCCCGTGTAATGTCCTACTAGAGATATCTATAGAAAGGGGTAATAATCATAATCTCCATCTATGAAAATAAAAAACATAGAAGCATCAGAGAAATAGAATTTTTGTGCTTTCCTTTAGTTATCTTTTGATCTTCCCCGAGGAGCCCAAAACATTTCACATTTCAAATATGTGTTTCTACTTAGATTATGCGCAGGCCTGAGAAAAGGCACAGTAGGAGAGTGGACCACAGAAGGTCTTCACTGGTTCACTAGCTCCTGCACATGCCATATGCCTGGTATATAGTGAAGGCT